CAAATGGCACCGCGAGTAGGAGAGAGGAAGCTAGTTCAGAACCCCTGTGCGGCCTTGCGATTCTTCGATTTTCAGAGCCTTTCCCAGCCTCAGCGCCCTTTTTCAGCAGAGTGTCGTGATAGGTTTGCAGCTTCCTATGGCCTCTTGTGCCGGGAGCTCCCACCCAGAAGCGGAGGCAGGTTGTCGGGATCTGGATTCACACTCAAAACCGTAGGCGGGGCGTTGCAGTTTAGGGTTCAGCGTACGAATGCTTAGGATGATTCGTACATGCGGGGCTTAGGATGTGTCAAGGCTTCAGGAATTTCAGCTCGTTTCAACGCTCTGTCACAGGAGACATTCGAGGACTGGCACCCTGGCACTGGCGTGTCAACGTTGCGAAAGGAGCACTGGAGTAGCACCCTCTCTGCACGTAAAGCTTGAACTGTGTCCCAGCATGTCACAACAAGTGTGTTTCGTTTTTTTTTTTTGTTGGGGGGGGGGGGGGGGGGGGGCGGCATGGCAAGGTTTCTCTAGGAAAGGGGAGCGCGTGGAAGATCCGCTCCCCCCCAGTCCGTACGGTTTCCTCGTAGAAGACTCCCCCGCTGCCTGGCTTGTAGGTGCTAGCTGAGTTCAGAGTTGGCATCCATTGAAGGCATCTTCGGTTTTCTGACAAGCCGTGAAACCATGCTCTCCATCTCGGCTCTGCTGTGCACAAGGTCGGGGGAGGGTCATGGCTACGCCCAGACCCAAGTTAGACCATACACAGACCTCACTCGAGACCTCTCTGTCACTGCCTTAAACGCCTGCCAGCACCGTCACGCAGGGCACTGCGTTTTGGTGTTCTTACAGATGCTGGCCTTTGGCAGCCCTTTGCCTAAAACGAGTCATGCTGGAGTTTCAGGGGAAAGTTCTCCGCGGAAAAACAGTTTGTGGGTATTACACCTTTTCTGCCGGTGTGGAGCTTTGGTGAGCCACTCCAGGTCTCCAGGTACTTGAGTAAAGGGTGGAGCTTCGTGGAGCCCAAGTGTAGTTGTCTGGCACATGGAGGGAAGAGATGGCAAGCACATTTCAGCCAGTAAGTACAGGGTTTCACAATTCGGTGATTGTTTGGGTTTGAGGATGTTTGGGGTTTTAGTTGCTCGGAATTGGAATCCAAGGCTGCTGATGCAGCAGCACTGGATTCGAGCGGGGGCAGCCGGGGCCACTGCCAGGGCCAGCACTGCAGCTGCTTTGGCCCAGTACCGCCTTTTTTCCAATGCTGTGGCTGCAGAGTTTTCCTGTACTCATTTCGCAGCTGCAGCGGGCGTGGGCCTGGACGAGTGGTCTGGCGACGATGCGGGCAGGGACTTTAATGTTGAGCCCGAGGTGTACCCCTTCCGTACCTTAGCGGGCTTCTGCTTCGGTCTGGTTTCATTCAGTTTGAGTTGGCTGTCCAGGCGTTTCAGGGTCAATGGGTCAAGCATTTGCCGCCACCGACGAAGGCTCCATGCTTCTGGAGACTCCATTCCACTCCATCACTGCCGAGCATGGGCTGATTGCGGTTAACTCCATGACCTCCGAGATCAGGCTGATTGAGGCAGGAAGACCGAACTTGCATGGGACCCCTGTAAGCTGCACAGCCAGCATCTGTTGGCTCTGCTGTAACCCCACAGCATCCTACACGAGACTGTACTTCTTTCCAGAGGCCACCGAGTCCTCGTTTCGCCGTTTGCCGGCCTTACGGCGGCCCCGGCGAGGACTTGCGGAGCGGATGGCCTTATGTCCGCAGGCGGGGTGTTTCTGGGTGCATGCCTTGGAAATGTCTGGGGATCGGGATTCTTTGAGGTGTCCTCCTGGCCTTAATTGGCTGAGCTGCTGGGGATTTGCAGGTCGGAGTTCGGATCCGCTGGAGCTAATTATAGAGGGTGGAGGATTTGGTATGTCGGAAACTTGGTTAAGTCCCGCACCTGAAGAGGTTCGTACCAATGATTGCGAGTGGTTGCATTTTATGGCTGTAAGGCTGCACCATGCGCATTGGGGAGTCCTTTGCAGGTTCTTTTGTTTGACAGCCGCGAACTGCAGCTGGTAACCGATAAGGTCTGAGCACAATGTTCCAAATGCTGGCAGATATGCTGTTGCGGACTTCCCAAATGCATGTCAGTGCCCATAAGCTGCATTGCCACTGGCAGAGGATTCGAGCGAGAATAGAAGACTATCTCAAGCAAAAGGAGAGTGAAATGAGCATCCAAGCTCTGTGACGTAAGGAAGTGTGGCTCCATAAGTCAGTGGATTCTAGCACCCACGCACCGCTTACCCGGACCAACAAAGATCATGTTCCAGCCTGACACGGTGTCGCCCATCCGTGGCTGCAGTGTCCCGATTCCCGGTACAAAAAGGAAAGCGTGGGAACGGGGTGCATCAGAGGTCCAATCTGCGCCTGCGCACCAGGCTGAACAGATGAGGGCTCTGACAGCTCTGACACAGTTGTTAGCAGAAAGGTTAGACTGTGACACACCCACAGGATAAAAGCAGCTACACAATGGAGGTAGAAGCAGCGAAAAAGGAGTGCGCCAAAAGGTGGTGAGTCCTGGCAGCGGCTGAGATGGGCCGAGGTTCACGTGCTGGTCAGCACTATGCATTAGTCTGCCAGTCCCCCGCAAACATCTCACAGAGCAGACCACGCAATTTCCTGGGCAGGGCTCTCCTCGTTACATCGCCAGCAGCGAAGAGTAGGCACCTCCCGTATTTGGAACCTAACCCCGTCCATCGAATTGTCAGGCAGACAGCGGTATTTTGGCAGTGGCCGAGGCAGATGGCGTCGTGCGACTGGAGGATGTTACTGAGACCGAGGCTGTTTGCCCGGAGCTTGCTCGTAACTCCTTCCCTGGATCTTGCCAGGGCCTCTTTGCTTATTAATGCCCCTTTTTCATTCTCTTTGTCGAACGGATATAGTCCCAGCACGCAGCCGTAATATTGTGCCAGGTTGTACTGGCCATTCAACAGCAACAAACCATGGAGCAACTCTGTTTGCTAGGAGCCTTTGGGAACGACCCACTTTGCTCCTCAGGTCTTTTCTGGCTGCGACAGACCTTGGCACTGTGCAGTGCTTGGGCTGACGGCCCGCTGCCCTTCACGTTGGAGCCCCTCAGTGTTGACACACTGCGGGACACCAAAAAGGCATCAAAGGCGAAGTCCCATCCAGAAACGACCATTGCAGATTGTTATTTGTGTCTGCATTGACAGGCCCCTGGACTCGATGGCGCCAGTGTCCTTCTTGGAACACCCTGGTCTGTTGCAGGCACTCCGGTGGTCGAACTCTGCACTGCTCGCCTCAGGTGGGGATGCAGGTGTCCGGACTTTTAAAGGCTTTTCCTTTGGGCTCAGAGGAAGTAAGGTAAGCCCTTGCACCTGTGCCCGCACTAAATCAACCCAGGAGGCATTTGCCTTTGGGACTTCCGGTGCTCCGAACTCCAGCGGCTTTGGAGCAGCAATGGCACAACATTGACAACGGTAGCCGCGACTGGGACGGGGTTGGAGTGCAATAGTGCCAGGTTGGGCTTATAAGGGCCATCTCTCAGTATCTCGTGACCTCGTGGGCTTGTGATGTTTCTGTTGGTGTTTTTGTTATTCCACCCTCCCTTTGCTCTGGTCTTTCGCGGTCCTCAGGTGGACGCAGATGGCTACCACGTGGCCGCCACAATGCTCACCTCAAAAGGCCTGGCACTGCAGGGCCTCGATTTGCGTCGCCCAGATGCCAGCCACACTGAGCCATTGTTCCTACGAGACCTTCTGCAAATGTGCCCTCAGCCAGATGTAGCAAATGTCCAGGAGTTGTGGCCCAGTTGCCTGTCTGTCGGCATGCTTGGTGAAACATATGCCGTCTTCAACGACAGCACAAATGGCCTTGACTATTTGGCTTGCTTTGCCGGAGGCCCTAGCATGTCGCCGCTGGTCATGCGCCCAAGCAGCTTCAACATCACAGCTTTGCAGTGTGCCAGCAGCCAGTGCGCGAGCATGGTTGGGGTCTGCAGCCCGAGCCACATCAGCAAAGGATGGGCAGAGTTGCGCTGGCTTTCCCGGACTTCTGCTCAGCAAAAGGCCAGCCGCAAGGTCAAGCCGAAAAAGTTCTTTCGACAACGCGATGCAGGCGAGAATGACTTCCGAGATCGCGGTTTGGGCAGGCGTGGCAGGCGATAAAGAAAAAGAGGCATATTGCCCCCGGCATGTACGCATAGGATGATTTGTGGTCCGGTCCAGGTTTGGGCAAGTGCAGCGAACCCATGTTTCGATACAGGGTAGTGCTTAGGGCAGGCTGGTGTGAAAGAAGCCGCGACCGACTTGTTCTTGCGCCGTTTCGTGCAAACCTGCTGCCAAGGCTTAGCCACAAGAATGCCATTGCTCAACCTTTTTGAATTCATAATGGCAGAATCTTTGACGACCCGCTTCGGGTAGAAAAGAAATGATAAGAGGCTGTTAGGAGGTGTCGCTCCGGTCCGAAGAGGGCAGCGAAGAAGGCAGCTGTCAAGCCGGCTGCTATGTCGGCATCCGCGACAATCCCTGCCACAAGCCAGCAGGCAGCTCATCTCAGGAGATCTTCATCATTTGCGAAACGGCGGCCTGCACGGGGCTTAGGACAGCGGCTGCGGCTACAAACTGGTAGGTTTCGACAGCGCAGAAAGAAGTTGCCGCGATCAGGCTTTGTAACAGAGATGACCCAGGGGTGGGGGGGGGGGGGTCCGACAAGAAGTTGCTGCCACCTATGCGACTTGGTTAATACAAACTTGGACTTCCGGGCCATCCTACATTGTTTGCGCCGATGTTTAATCACAAGCGAGAACACATGAAAGTTCAATGTTATGTAGTTTACTAGAGGCTGGGCTGTCGGTTTTTTGAAAGTCAATAGAACTACGATTCCAAGTTTGTAAGCAGCACCTCGCAAACCTGGGGTAAAAAGTAGATGCAGAAGGGAACGCTCCCCCAATAGTTAGCACAAACAGCTAGATGTAGCACAACTCCAACAAACTAGGCAATCAAAGCAGCCCTATGCTAGAAACCCCCTTAACCAACAAACATTGACCATTTGTTTTGCCATCAACCTTGCATGTAAAACCCCTGAACCCTATACCCCTAAATCCAAGACTTTAAACCATCTTCAAACCTTTCTTGCTATGATTTTCTGTGAGGACCCAACGCAGAAAGGCTCGAATTCGCACAGTAGAGGCTAGCGCCGGGTAGGGCCAGCGCAGCTCAAACGCGACCCCAGGCCGCCCATGGCTGTTTCAAACCGCTTTTTCAAGAGGTTTTGGGGGGTTTGCCTCCAGGCTTTTTTCGGGCGCTCACAAACTAAGTTAGGGCAAGTACCTGTGCGTGTGCGCCGCATTACGACAGTTGATGTCAAGAGACCCTCAGCTGTATGCGAAAGGTTCTGTGGGCATGGCCGTCCGCGTCTCGAAGTCGGGGAACGGGAGAAGGTTAGGGGGCCAGATGTAGCATCAGACCTTGCGGCTGGATTTCTGCGGAGTTCAAGGTCTTTCTGCAAGCAGGCGCGGAAGACAAAGAACCATTATTTCATAGCTGTGTGCAAAATCACAACCCATTCCCAGGATTCCCAGGGGATTTGAAGTCTTGTGCGTTGGATGCACCCCTCGAGCTTGCAACTCCGCATATCTCTCCCTCATTTACAATTTGTTCCTCTAAACCCCAGTCCCTACACAACGATGGCGGTAGCATAAGAAATGCCCAGATGCACGGAGTTGAAGCAGAAGCCGCATTCTCAGAGCTGGCGAGAGGCGCGTGGCTTTGAGTCACGCTTCTCCAGCACATGACGCGCATATCCGGTACTGTAGCGTGTACAGTGTGTGGGCTGCGCCTTAAGCACGTGACATGTTTAAGTCACAGGCTCAAACGCCCAAGGCTCGGCCATTCGAAGAGCTTGGAGTTCTGTGCATGTCATGGGATGCAATGTTAGCCAGTCTGTTTGTTCTTGCCTTAGAGCTGCGTTCTGGGGCTACACGGTTACATGGCGCATAATCAATCATGGAGACAAAAAGCATGTGGGGGACCTCAATAACTCGATTCTCTGCCAGAAAAAATCAATGCCAATTGGCCAAACACAAGCTTGCCATCTTTGGCTGCCATAAATTGACTATGGCTCGGACACAACGTGCACCTACAAATGGCCACGACCCACGGACTTCGACTTTGAGCTGCAACACGCAGCTGTCCCCAAAGCATTGAAGTTTCTCCATCCGAGTGACACTGACTCCTGAGCTGAGGCCGGACCTGTTCTGACGCAGTTACCCTGTGAATCGCAGTTGTCGCTTCAGAGGCCACCTCCGGTCTTGGAGAAAGGGCTTTGGGTTGGTTTCCGGTGGCTTTGAGGGTCTCGATGCCAGAAGCAACGACGAGGTTAACACTTCGCGTACAGCAGTTCGACGTCACGACATCAGGTCTTTGCCATGAGGCTTGCTGGTAGTATCTTGGCCCAATCCCACGTTGAGCAGGTCCTTGTCCACCCTAGCCTTGGCTGGTGGCTTGGCCCTGGCATCGCAGACAGCAGGAGCCTGTGAGTGCTGAGTGGCTCACGTGTGGTGCGAGGTCCTCTTGTGCTATTCAAGAAGTGCAGTTTCTCAGGACAGAGGCATGGGCAAGTTCGAGAAAAGATAAGAGCATGTCACTGCGACTTTGTTTTTTCTGAGCCGCGTCAAAAGGTCTGACGTAAACATAAAGCGGACACTGGCGGTGTAACATGTAACTTACACCCCCCCCCCACAGCTGACGTTGTCAGGTCGTCTCTTCGGGCGTCGTGCCTGCAACACCAAGAAGTGAGCACGCGGAGGTCTACGGGAGTTGTTGTTGAGTGGTACCCAAACTTCAAACGAGGCTGCATATACACTCCACTTAGATGCTTGGCGACGAAGTGCCTTACTAAGATTTCCAATTTCCATCAGCTTTGTGGCATAGCGACATCCGGGCATCTGGCATGGAGGTCGCAACCTCATCTACAAAGCCATCTTTGTTCAGGCCTCATGGTGAGCCTGTACATGCGGTAAATGTGGGGAGGACCTCAAAAAGGTTGGGGCTTCGGGTTCCTGATCCCGCGGTGCGCTGCAGGACACACACCACAGCAAGCGACAGGGCCTCTGACAGCCAGAGCCCCCATGGAGGACCAGACTTTGGTATCGGGTATTCTGACGGCTTTGGAAGTTATCAGCCAAGAGCCGGCGTAGGGCCTTCAGGGGCTCAGCTGGTCAATTGCCCCTTGCTTGGAAATGCACACGCCGGCTATGGAGAGGGACTTGGGTTTCAGTCTGGGATTTCGGTGAAGCCTGCGCGATATGTGCTATGGACCCGAACCCGAGGCCACAAGATTCTGATGCTCGCGGATCTTGTCATGTTTGGGAGGGGTGAAGCTCTGAAGCCCGGCCTGAAGTTAGGGCTGCCTCTTCTGGAAAGGAGCTCAAGCACGAAGTGCAGGGAGGCCTCATTGCTGTCGATCATTCTGAGAAAGGGAAACTTCGGAATTGTCAGGATTCAGAGTTGTACTGACACGAGCAACTTTGCCATCAGCTTCCTTCCCACTGTTCAGGAAGACTATAGGTTAGGGGCGTGCCACGCAGCACTAGCTTAACTGCGAACCACCTGAAGCAGAAAGCCGCAGAGCCTTTTTAGGCTAATGGTTGCTAAGCTCCTGCTAAACCCTACTAGTACTGGAGTCCGGAGACGAACCTCCTTTGGCTTGAGCTAGGCTTGCAGAAGCGAGCCCAAGGGCGAGGATCGACTCCCAGAAGGCTGCTTGGGCCTGGGATCGTTTTTGGAGATTCACTTCAGGGGATGTTTGCACATCCGTGTGTTCGTCGCTGTTAAGATCCTTAGGTCACTTGAGCAGTTTGTCAAGACTCCAAGAAGTACGGCTTACTGCTACAGTCGGAGACTGCCACTTATGCTCCCGAAAATCGGGGGGACATGAGATCGCGTTGAGAATGCCGAACCACAGCTAAATCTGAGCCTCGAGGGTTTTTTTATCGCAGCTACGCCGCTACTTATCATTGGTGCCAGGGCAACAGTGGAGATAGGGGCATGAGGCATGCCCAATCTTTGGGCTTTGGTTCTAGATTCCCTTTTAAGCCCAAACCCCCCAATAGCCCAACATAAAACACCGTGCGCCCGCCCAAAGCCAACAAGATAAACTCCTGGGGATGAACCATGGCATCGACTAAGAGCATGAAGTCGGAGCACAGCAGACTGCGAGGAAGCAGGGGATGCTGACAGAGATCTTGCAGAGGCGTGGCTTGTGCAGAGTAGTTTCGCCGAAGTCCCTGGGTCGCTTCCTTCAGGTCCTTCCGAAATGGGTTCCCAATGAGTTCAATATGTTATGTACAGATGTTTCGAGCCCTGGAGTTGGGAACGCATGCTGTGTGGACGCAGGCACTTGTTGCGACAGAGACGGTCGCAGTGAAGCCCGGGCCAGAGGCCGAGTCTTGTCAATGACAGGCCCTAGAACCCTCTCCAATGAAGTGGAGAGCCGTGTGCTTATAGCCGTGTGCTCAAGGTGCAAGTACCTCTTAAAAGCAGATGAGCAAGACTTATATGGTCAACATTGGTCAACTAGTTGTTCAAAATCATGCACACACGGACAGCTTGCGGCGAAGCTTCAGGCCGCACACTGACCAGCTGGTACCTGCACAGTCTTCCTGTCAATGAAGATTCGGATCTTAGGAGTGAGGGGCACTTTTTCCGGCCATGTCCGGCCATGACAACGGGGAGAAATAAGGACTTTTGCAAGTCAAGACTAAGGGCCGGCTGCCAAAAACATTACCTGTGAATTAGGATCAGCAGTTGTCCTTGAGAAGACCCCGGAGCCCCCGCCGCAAAGATCGGGGCACTGACATGAATAAGGCTCCGAAGCGCTCTCCAGCTACCGATCCAGCCCCGCAACCGGAGCCCTGGTGCCCCGCCCTAGGGTGAGTGATTGAGGGCTTAAGCAGATGTGGGGGGATTGCGCTTGTATGCGCTTATGAAGTTCTGGGAGAGGGCTAGTTCGTTGGTGTTTTGAGTCCGGCGCGGACACTCTTACACGCATTTTCTACACCAATGCTTTTCTTCTCGGCGCCTATAGTTCCTCAGCGATTTATTCCAAATTTCCTGCGTTGTCCGCTTTGGCAGGGAGACGGAGAATACATGATCATAAAACAGCATTTGCATCTCAGCTGGTTCAAGAGCTCATAAGGCGCGAGCCCTTGAGCATTGTTGTTCTCTATCCTGAACGAGCATGGGTGCCAACGCTAGGCTGCGCATGTCGACTGCGATTTCGCAGAAATTGCGCCATTGGGTCGGGACGTCTCTGCTACTTCCCCGAGTTCCCAGGTGCCAACCACAGTTGGTTCGCGCCGCCGCCTTCCAGTGATGAGGACTGCAGGTGTCAATGCCGATTCTTCGATAAATGACAGCTCCGCTGCTCGAAACTAGAGGCATGCAGAGACATTCAAGCCAAGGTCATACGAACGCAGCGAGGTGACTTTTTGAGCATCTCAGACGATGTGATAATGTGATATGACTGTAGTGCGTGTGCATGCGTGCCGAAACGTGGCTTGGGTGGTCCGCAACCTTGGAGATCTCGGCGATCGACGGCTGGAATGTCCTGTCGAAGTAGGAGTCGCCCTCCCATCCTGGCGAACCTGAGCAAACCAGCAAGGGAGCCATAGCTTGGAGAGATATGCGACAGATCGAGAAATTTCATGGCTGAATCTAAACGTAATGCCGAGGAGAGAAGAAAACAATCACAAAGCTGTGGGCAAAAAAGCGCAGCGCCGAAGCCTTTCACATAGCCTGCTGGGCCACAGGACACGACACCGCTCCCGCCCATGCTGCCACCTTTGGCCGGGCTCCTCTGAAATTATCATAGACTTGGTTAGCCGGTTAGCCCACACCCCCTTCGAAACCGTCCCCATACTCCTGCAGAGAATTTACATAAACACAAAGTCCCAAATGAGGAGGTCACAGAGGCGTCAGCTCTCATCCGTGCCCAAAATCAACCTGGCAGGCGACATTCCATATAAGATTTTTGCTTGAGCTATCTTAATTCCCGAAGTCAGCGGCCCCAGCAACTGCCCGTATATGTCTCTGCAAATTTGCTTTTGGCTGAGGTGGCAGTACCACCAGGCCTCCCCTCCGCATCCAGGACAGCCGAAGCCGATCACTGCAATTACCGATGTAGGAGATGGCACGCACAGGTGCTTCAGAGTCCTGCTTAGCTTTGCGGTATGGTGTGCGAGGACACGTGAGCATAGGGATTCAGCCGTTTGTTTGTTCAGCGCTGGCGTCGGGGGACGTGAGGGTACCTCCTGACTGGACTCTTCGGGCACAACCCCGCGCTTGCCCCGTGTAAGAGACCTTTGTGCATAACCGTGCAGGAAACCCAAGGCAGCTCGGGCATTGCCGCGCGCAGCTTAGATAGCTTGCTTTGAGAATCAAGTAGAACACAGTCGTGAAGGCCTTTTCGGGAAATCCACTCATCTCTCCTGCGCATGCCTTGGCCATTGATACTGCTGCTGATCCTGCTGTGATCGTAATGACAATGAGAATGGTGATTGTGGTGGTGGCCACGGCAGCCATTACCTTTGGTTGTTTAGGGAGCCAGCCACCTTTGAAAATAGCGACGTTCCTATGCCCTCGAGCCAGAGGACCCCGTTCAGGAGTTTACTGCATGGCTTCTGCAGGTCAGGTTGAGTTGTTGTGGTTAAGGTCGGTGCCGAGAAGGGGATGCGACATCCTGCAGTTTTCTTTCTGGGAGGGGTGTCATCAAGGAAGTTCTGGAAGACGTTTTGCGTCCGTTTCTTTTGTTGATTCTCTAACACCGCCTTTTCGGCTTGCAAACACCACGGATGCCACGACGCTTCGTGAAGCTTGACTCCAATTATCCAAGAAGTGCATGCAAAGCTCCGCGTGCACCATGAAAAGGACAAGATGATAAGACTTAAGTATATACGCATTCTTTTGCTTGTTTATATATCGAGAGAGAGGGAGAGAGAGGGAGAGAGAGAGAGAGAGGAACAATAAATCACAGAACAAGCTCCAATGACAAGAGAAGAGCGCCTCCAGGGCCAGACTGCATCAGCTGGACGACCAGACGGTGATACCAAGAGAGGTGCAACCATTGCGGCCTTGTGCCCTTGGAGGGGTGGAGCCTTTGTGTCTTCGAGGAAGTTGCTGCATAACCGGTTTCAGGCCCCAGGTGTGGACATGTGAGGTTAGATTTGTTGCCGAGTCTATCGCTGCTAGCTCCGGCATGAGCCAGCCTTCTCTGCTCGTCTCTGAGAGCCCTTTGCTACTTCAAGTAAGAAGCAGAAGATGGCTGTCATTGGCAGTCTCAATTCCAGAGGGTTTGCTGCCTTTTCTGCTTCTTTGGCCACACTTAGTCACTTGTGCGCTGGGGTGGCCGATCATGCATGCTGGCATGGCATGTGCAAGTTGGGAGTAGTGGTGGAGTTCAGATGGCTTTGCCTTTGATGCTGGCATCTTGCATCCCAGGCTTTTCTATGCATTGCTTAGTGCATAGTTGCACCTCGCACATACATCGTGCGCTACAGTATGCTCTGCTGCCTAAGCGTGCCTACGACCGACAACTTTGACACTTGCGTGGTGGCCCACAGCTTGATAAACAGGGTTCATGCTGCTTAGATTCCAAATCTCGCTTCGCAGAGCCTGGCTATACCCCAGCAAGTCGAGAACGGCAGAAGAATAGAACGATCGCTGCTTTACAAGATGGGGTTGGTTCAACTCAGAGTAGCTCCAGCATAGAACAACCAAGAGAGCGCAGCAACGCTGCACATACTTTCCTGGCAATTTCTACTGGATCAGTACACCGAGAACTGCCCCCTCAGAACTTGAGAATTCATCCGCTCCATGGCGTTCTCCGGCATGGACTGCGAAGCGCTGGTAAGAACACTCGACCAGTGCCTGGATCAGACGCCAGCCTGCACCACTGTTGTTCATACTGTTTGGTTAGCTGTTACAGTAATGTGCCAAGAAGGGCGAGCCCGAAAACAACATGGTCCGCGGTAGCCGCCCTTGTCAAGGGACCGACGTGGAGAGTTTCCAAAAACACTGATCTACCTGGGACTTTGGAGACCAGCATTTGGAGGCCCAAAAAAGGCATGTAACAGCTACCAGCACTCGTTCGGTTACTTCGTTCTTGCTTCTTCTCCATGGTCTTTGTTGCTCCCGCCGGGCTAGTGGCGTTCTTTGGCAGAAGCCCTGAATGCCATCATTTGAGGTATGGGGAGTCTGAAGGGATATATCAGCTCCCACAAACCGGAAGGAGGAAACCATCGTAATTTTATCGCTAACGCGAGGCCGCCTCGGCTGAGGGCAGGGCTGAGGGTTTTGGCTTCGGGCTTCGGGCTTTAGGGCTTTAGGGCTTAGGGCTGAGGCTTCGGGTTGCTTAGGCTTATAGGGCAGAAGGCTTGCTTAGGGCTTGGGGCTTAGGGTCTAGGGCTTAGGGACGTCGGCCTCGGCTGGATACAGGTCGACTACGGGGGGTACCCATTCCAGGCCATAAAAAGCTCCGCAATGTGGGTCGGCGGTGCACTTCCTAATATCTCCCTAGACTTGGATCTAAACGCCTCAGGCCTCCGGTGTCGGCGGATTATCCGGGACGCAGAATCTGTTTGTCAAGCACAGGGTGGCAATGTGCACGATTTCGAGGGCTTGCTGAAGCCCAATCCAGTCATCTTGTGAACCATAGTCACTGTCTACCGGGTAAAAAATGAAACCGATGTTTGTCTTTGCTTTGATGAGAGGGTGTTGGACGCTGGCTCATGAAGGATTTGGGGTTACCTAGGCACATAGGGGAAGGGGGGGCACTTGCTTTGCACATCCCTTTTCGATGGCCTTCGAAGCTAGGCAGGACAGCAATTTTGTAGTTTACGTGCAGCCTTCATGTAGAGCTGCTCACTATGCGGAATGTCAATTCTGACAGGAAGGACTCCCTGGGACAAGTTGCTCCTTGGCATTCAACGAAAGGCTGACGGAGTTACTTGGTAATGACCAAGTTGTCAGGTCAGAGCGCAACGAAAAAGGCAGCTACTAGGCAACCTCCTGGACTCCTGGACACTGCTGCCTGCAATCTGAGCATATGTGAGCGCTTGGGCTTAAGAAGCTTGTCTGGCAAGCAGGTTTAAATTGACCTCAACCGCAAAGGTCTCGAGACACTACCGGCGTTTACCGGCACATCATACTGGCATCCGCCCTGCCCTCAGTCGCTAAACTAACTTGGGGACTCGGTTGTCCTGTTTGGTGCTACACGTCCGTCCAACTACGGGAATTGAAAGTGGCAATATTCTGATGAAAAAACATGATTGACAGTTGACATAAGACAGAGATGAGCACAATCGAACCTAGGGGTACGAGCACTTGATACCTTCACCTGCACCAATACCATAGCAGGCGAGGGTGCACGCCAGAGGCAAGCCAGCAAAAAGATGCATACCAGATGTCTGGCAGGCTCATCTAGAAGCACAGAACTTTCCAGCTGTGCAGAGGGTATGTAATTCTAAATATAAATTTAGTGGCATCTTCCCAGTATAGCACGGGCAGTCGAAGACGGCGCCTTTGAAACTCACAACTTCAATTGACACCACCCGTTAGTGTGATGCGCCACATCGGAGTTCATGTCCGCGGCCGCGTTCGTACCAGACAAAATGTGCAGTCCTGAATCTGAATCCGCAAGTTTGCCGACAAGTGCCAAGCGCTTCTCGCATGCGAAACCATGCCACCCCCAGAGCTGCTGTTGGAAGTGTAGGCAGGTTGCAATTACACCCGATGCCCAGCTTAGAGCATTTGATTCGCCCCTGCACCCAGGGGCTGCAGACCTTCAGGAGCCTGGGCTAAGAAGGTACAGTAGCGTCGCATTCTTGAAAAAAATCGAGGGCTTGACCCCTGATTTGCCGAGCAAAGACCTGGTAGATGCCGCAGGGTTGCAGATCTTGGGGCCTTTTTCTCAGAATGGCTGTGAAGGAGATCTTCCCCTCCATAGCACAAGCTTTGGGCTTGCCACCCTGGATCTTCGATGGTGCGCACCAGGTGATCGACAGGCCCTGGGTTCTTCCGCGTTGGCAGTCTTACAACGTCAACCGGCAAGCGAAAGGACACACATACAGATGCAATATTTATGATATTCTATTGTATTATATTGTATTATATTGTATGTTATTATTATTTGTATATATATATATATTTATTTATCATTACGATTTTAAAAATTACAAAAACAGAACAATTATTATTTTATTTGTATTATTTTATGTGTATTATTATTTTTGTTGTTGTTATTGTTATGGGTATTGTTATTGTTATTGCTATTGCTATTGCTATTGCTATTGCAATTGCTATGTCTATCGTTATTGTTATTGTTATTGTTATTGTTATTGTTATTGTTATTGTTATTGTTATTGATATTGTTATTGTTATTGTTATTGTTATTGTTATTGTTATTGTTTACATACATACATATATATATATATATACATATATATATAAGTTGATTGATTTGTGTATGTGTCATATGTGTGTGTGCGTATGCATGCATGCATGTACATGCATTTGTATGTATGTCTATGTGTGTGTGTCTGTTGTGCCTTGCATGTCGTGTGTATGTCTGTATTATGCCTGCATGTATGTATTTATGTTTCAGTTCACATATGCAAATGCGGTTCCCTCTTTCGCACTGACCGAAGAGAAGCTCCGAATCCCACTGGTCCTTCAGCAATGACCAAGGTTGCGATGCACACCCACTTTGCGAGACTTTATGCTCGGAAGATGTTGAGTGAAGCGTTTGAGTGAAGCTTGACACTCTTTTGGACTTTAGCTCCAGGTTCCCTGTGTTCCTTTCCTTCTGTTACTTGCAGCTCGGTATCTTTCGCTGTCCGTTGAGTCCAATTTTGCAGTTTCGACCTCAACGGCAACGGCATGCTGGAGGAGGACGAGGCAGGCATCTCTTCAAGTGTCAACTTCGCTGCTTTTTGATCAAGCTTGTGTGTCGGGAAGCTAGGTCCGAGAAGAGTTGCAGAGTCTTTCGCAGTCTGCTTGGGAAGGGGTCAAGTCGAGCTTCACTCGAAAAGTTTCGATCATTGTTGAGTTTGGGCTTTCGGCTTTTTGAGTAGCTAGTGTCACGGAGGCAAAGCGCATAACCTGGAAGCTTCTGCAGCAGAAGCGCCTGGCAACCAGGCAGCAATGAGCGAGAATGCACGATTCGCATGATCTTGTGGCTCCCAACTCCCCGCAGTGTCTCCCCGCAGATCCCTTGCCCTCGTTTTGTAGAGACTTGCAGTCGTACTTGGCACGCAGATGTTACACATACTCACATACACGTCTTTGGTTGCAACCCTCATAGTCCCTCAGCGTCAGAGTTTCAAAACTGCTGAGAGAAGGCAGCTATCAGTCATTGTGGCTTGTTGGGTAGCATTGGTTCGTCCTGGTGGAGTGGGAGGTGTTTATGAGCTAACTATGGGCTGCTTATCATGGTGTTGTGGCTCACGCAGGGCATGGGCAAGTTCGCACATGGTGTTGCAGAAACGAGCAAGCCATCAACAGTGCATCTCCTCAGTAATGACATCTAGCACAACCCACTTCAGCAGATGGTCAGTGTCCGAGTCCTTGGCCTTTAAAATGCCAATGCGAAGAAAATTGGTTCCTGTGAATGGGGAGCAGCCCCTTGACAACCCCTACTTCTGGAAAGGTGTCGACCCATAGACTCATAGAGAGCTCAATCATGGCCCTTCCCTTCTTTGCGGAGCTGCCGCCGCCCAAGCTGTCACGCAGCCTGCGGTGGTATCGAGGTGCGGAAAGAGCGCAGCATGTGCTCAGAAAGAATGGGGAAAGTGTTCTGTGTGGATGCATGCCAGGTGATGTGCTGCACTGTAGATAGATCAATGCTAGTTCCAGGAAGGGCAAGCAGACATGCTTTACAGGGTTTAGCCTCAATAGCGACCAAACTTTGTCGTCCTGAAAGTCTGAGGAGGCTTTGCCAGCAACATACAAGAAAATACTCCTGATCGCAGATGCAAGACAGTGTTGCTTTGGGGTGAACTGAGCTTACAGCAGTTGGTCAGAGCGATTGTTTCTTGTGGGTGCGATGTCCCTCACGATCCGGAACTCGGAAAGGAAAGTGTTGTGACAACTCCCGGCGGCCTGGTTGAAAACATGAAATATTCAACTGGCACCCTCAACTGGCACTCTGAATCCCGACACATCACAGGTTTCACAGGTCGAGATGTCCGACTTCAATCGCTTCAATCGCCAACGTCGTCAACACAGCACTCACAGCACCCTTTGCCACAGGTTGCCGGCCTGCAGCTTTCAAGTTTGGCTTAAGGGGAAGTAGGTATTTGAAATGGCTTATTTTAGCTCTTACAAAATTATGTGTCAGTATTACAGCGTTTGGGCCTCATCACAACAAGCCTTCAACCCAAAAAGTCGGCGGGGAACTGTGGTCTCGGTTGGATTGGAGAGTTCGCTGGAGTCTTTGGCGAACGAAGGCTGCTGCTGTAGGCGGCCCGCTGCTTGTTTCGGCAGCAAGCCCGCCCAAGAGCTTGGGACTCAGCTGCCTCGGGGTGGTGTGACGTGAGGAACTGACACAGGGGTGAACCTGTGCATGAGAGTGCGCGTGGCCCTTCAATGTTTCAGGGCTGAAGTACGAGCATGGTTTTCTGGAGGCCTTGTCGCGAAGTTTTCGCAACGTTATAGCGCTAGGGGCAAACATCGGAGCCAAAACTTGCGCTCAGGGCGACTATGCTTCCGTGGAAGTGGAGCAGCTACGAAAGAGGCGGCGGGGATGGAAGGAATCCGGAATCACCCTGGAAGCCCGAAACCCCTAAAGGCTGAAAGCCCGTCGAAGACTCCAAGGGCAGCTCGAGGCCAGGTTATCCTTCTTGGATGCGGCATCTTGGCCTATAATGAAGAGAGGACGAAGCTTGAGAGGGTCTTGGACCGTACTTCCTCCAGAGCTTTCGACAGTTGGTGTAGGTCTGGGCACGATGCAGCAGTCGAATGGGTGCACAAGTTGTTTACATGGGGTCAACACAGAGCATCTGAAATGGGCCTTGCGGTCATTTTTTTCCATGAGCCCGGGCTTCCCTATAGGTTCATCTGACATCTTGGTTCTTGGGATCCTTGATGCACTGGTCAAGGCTTCTTGACCTGGGCGCTGTGCGGCGTTGCAAATGAAGCTTGCTTGCTCAGAGCTGTGTGATCTAGAATTTGCTATCACTGGATCCTATGCGATGCTACATGTTCCTTCTTCTGCCCGCAACGAGACGAACCAGAACGCGACGAACCAGTTCATCAAGAGTTGTTTCCGTTATTGGCTTCAAAGAGTGTACCGTGGCCACAGAGCCACGTGGAACGTGATTTCCTCATGTTAGTATTAGACCTTGTAACCTTGTAATCAAGCTGGACGTGTGCCCAACCCCCAAACCCGAAATCTATGTCTATACACCCTGCTGAGTGGCTTCGTGTCAGTTATAGGGGAGCGAAAAAAATCCATCCCTATATTGCCTTAAGCAGACCTGCAAGACCAAACCAGAGGGTTTTCTGCGCCTTGTGCCTCGGGTCTACCCTGACTCCAATCCTATGCAGGTGGGTCAGACATGTTGATGAGCTTAGTTGTCGCAGGTCGAACAAGTCCAAAAAGTCACGAAACCGCAATTTCGCCTTGTTGGGCCTGTTGGGCTGTGAAGTGACAACATTATTTTCCTGGCAAGGAAGGAGTGGGCCTCCTGCTACCACAGCTGCTCCGGGACTTCCCCATCAGCCCAGGCCATGCCGGCTTCGAATCTAGGCGGCAACCGTGGCTGTGCCTTCGGTTTGGGCTTGAAGGGAGTGTGGTCGTGGTCCGGTGATGTTTTGAGGAGTGTCCCCACGATAGGCACCTCCGCAACAATCCGGCTTCGGGCTTTGAATGACATGACATGTCGAGTTACCTCAGGATGACCGCATCAATGTTCAAAGTTAATCTGACAGCTGGGCACTGGCATGCGTTATGAGAAACTCCACACAAAAGACACTCTTCTCCCCTGATTTTCCTGAGCCTGCCCTGCGCTGTACCCAATGTACCTTCAGGTGGCCACCAGCTTTACGGTAGGCAATGCGCTCGGCCTAGCCTTGGGCGGCCCGCTCTCACAGCTACAGGCAGTTTGCACAAGCCGTGGGTTTACTGACAGGTGTTGGCGAGCTGTGTTGTTCAATAGTTAGGTCACGTTGGGGCTTTTCAAGGCCTACGACATCTTATGAACGGGAACTGAGAACCCTTTCGCCTGCTAGAACTGCACACCCAGCCCCGCCCAATCACGTGCCAGCACAGCATGAATATCCATGAAACCATCTCCCTCCAGGAGGCTGGCTAGCTGAATCGGTTGGTTGGTTGCTTGCGGTGCGAGTGCTTGGGCACGGGGGGTGGGGGGGGGGTTGAGGGGCACGCATGGGCGGGTATGCAAGTCTGGAGTCCAAAATTGATATTGGACAGGGCCGACGAGACCTTGCGCGACTGGGGCTGCTAGCGGCCTCTTGCGATGCATCAGCTTGCCTGGAAACACTGAGAGGTTTGGGTTTGGGTTGGAAGATTTACAGTAGTGCTTTTTTGAGACTTCAAGGCTTGCGTTTGAGCTGACATGAAAAAGGTCTGCTAACAAGGCCTTATAAGTAGGTTGCTTTCAGATTGTGCCGCATCATCATCTTATTAAGCCGGTTAGTTTTGCAGCTTGCCGATAATCTCAATCCTGATGTTGGTGGAGTCGCGGAGGAATAGAATTCCGGCCTTTGGTTCTCTTCTGCTGGATGGGCCCAAGCCCTCCTTGCCGAAACCCTGAACCCAACCCTGCATGAACCCTCTGAATTTCCGAGGTGGCAGTGGCTGCCAGCCTGATCCTGAGTGCGACAAGGCATGGAAAAGCATAGTAGCAATCCATCGGGAACCCAGAGTGGTGCATATTAGGGGTTCATGTCGTGTTTGGCAAATCGGCATAAAACTTGGGATCATGGGGGCGAGATTTTCGCCAGCTTCACATTGACATGAACTCTGTGGACAGTCCTTTCGTGTTGAGCAGTTGAGCTCATGCTTAAGGGAATAGCGTCTGCATAGAAGTAGTATAGCATCTTCAAAGAGATCTGACGCGCACCCCTGAACCTGCCCTTAAACGGACGAAAGCCTTCTGCAGTTTCACGTCTTTGCTCGCCGCCCGTGCGCTGCTCGGTCTGGGCGCCGGCCTTCTGGCTGTCGCAGTGCCGACGCTGCACCCGGCTTTGCATCTGGAGCATTTGGAGCTGGGGCTGTTGGAGCAAGAGGGTTGACGGGTTGGCTACTGCCGAGGGCGCTGGTGGAGTTGTCTATGTAGCAGGGCCAATGGTTTGCCAGCAGAGTGCTGCATGCCGACAGCAGTTTGCGAACAAGGCTTCGCCCGCCCCCCCCCCCCCCCGCCGGGTTCAGAGGAAGCGAAGTTGATCAGCTTTAGGATTCAGGGGAAAACAGATGGAAACTGCCTGCGGACACCTTCGGACACCTCCGGACTGCATGAGAGCAAGGCTTGCCGAGAGCTTGCCTCGAGAAAACCTGGAGGTGCTCTCGGGGGGAATGATTGATTCTGGCGGAGGGAAGGTCAAGAAGTTCAGCGTTGACTTCCGTGTTCGGATCGCTCCATATCCTTTTGCTTCCTTTTGAGAGGCCAACTTGGCAGCCTACCCCTGCGGCTGGCCCCTGGGCGCTGTGGTGCCTCGGATAGAAGACTTCATTTTGTTTATCCAAGGGAGATTGGATTGCACGCATGCCATCGCCGGTAAGCACTGGGCAGGTCGAAGAGTTCAAGACCTCTGTTTGTGGTTGTGGAAGTGTGCAGAGTGCCAGAGAGACTGGCGATGACTGGCGAAATGTTGGCCTTGGATCATGTGAGCTTGTGCGTTTTGTGTCGAGTGTACTAGATACTTTTAGCTGGCAAGCGTGGAACGAACTACCGGGCTGGTGTGGCTTCTACGAACAATGGCCTAAGCTTGGAAGCAGCAGATGCTATTAATGAGATTCACTCTCGAAGCCCTACAAAAGATCAGACATGTACAAGTGTCCTGCCTGATTACCTGCAATGAAGGAACGTGGACTCCATACCATGTTGGTTGCAACTTGCAAGTCGTAGCGAGGTTGCAATCCTGCTGGCTGGGCTGGCTTGGCGACAT